CAGAAGGGACTTGTGATTTAATTCATGGTGATCTTTGCGGACCATTTAAAGTTCCATCTCTTGGCGGAGCAAAGTATTTTTTATTATTAAAAAACAATCATTCAGGCTATAGGCATATTTATTTCCTAAAAAATAAATCTGGACTAGAATTCAAAATTTTTATTAATAATACTGAAAATATAACTGGAAATAAAATCAAGACGTTCAGGATAGATAATGGGTTGGAGTTTATTAATAAAAAAATAACGAAGATATGTGAAGAAAGAGGAATTTGTCATCAGAGAACATGTGCTTATACACCAGAGCAAAATGGGCGTATAGAAAGAGATAATAGAACAATAGTGGAATCTGTGAGAACTCTTTTGCATAGCTCAGGTTTAGAAAAAGTTTTTTGGGCGGAAGCTGCAAATACTGTTGTATATACATTGAATAGAGCTGCAAAGAGTCCTCAAAAAGACAAAAAACCTTTTGAAGTGTGGCATAAAAAAAATGTAATATGGATATTTTTCAGCAATTTGGCGTAAAAGTGAGTGTACATGTTCCCAAAGCTAAACGGTTGAAATTGGATACTAAAAATGAAATTGGTATTTTTGTGGGATACTCTGAAGAAGTAAAAGGCTTTAGGGTATTTTTGCCACTGAAAGAAAAAGTTGAAATTCACAGGGATGTAATTTTTATACCTAAAAATGATAATGCAGTTGCGAATAGAACAAAATTGGAAAAGGGCAACAAAACTACTATTTCTTTAAATTTTGAAAATAACAGTGAAAATGGAGAAGAAAGTCAAAACAATGAAGAAGAGCCTACAATAAATAATTATGAAGAAGATAATATTTCCCTGGAAAATGATAATACAGAAACCGAAGAAAACAAAAATGAACCGGAATACGAGACTGAAACACCTGCAGTGACACAGATTACCTAATACAGATGCGAAAGTACGTATACTTGTCGTCGACGATATTCTGTGACGAAGCCGGGCTGCCAGCGCTCCGACGCATAGATAAAGATCGCCCGCGTCAGGACAATTAACGTGGCCAAGTGCGTGAGCATGTTCCAGCCTGTGTGTTTACATATTTTTGCGGGTAGAAAAAAATATTTTTTTGCTGTTTGTGAACCAATTAAAGAAATAATATTATATTATTGAGCTTCCGCATTTATATAATAAATATGTTCAAAATACATTGATGTGGCATTGGTGCGGCCAGCCTATGTCCATCAAATTAATCTTGAACCACGAATTCGCAGCTCTTTCGCATCTGTATGTAAGTAATCTGTGGCAGTGATGCCAGAACAGGAAAATGTAACTCGAAATATAACTATAAGACATGGAAAAAGAAGCATCAAGAGACCAACATGGTTAAAAGACTTTGATGTGTTCGGAGATTCAGCAGATATGTGTTTTTATTCAGAAAATGAAGAACCAGTTACTTTTGGCGAAGCTGTTTCAGGAAAAAATAGTGATAATTGGAAAGAAGCTATCAAAAAGGAACTTAATGTGCTAAAAAAAAATTAGACTTGGAGTGAAGTGCCTTGGCCAGTGGACAAAAACGTAATTGACACTGAGTGGGTTTTTAAACTAAAAAGTGATAATGAATATAAGGCAAGACTTGTTGCTCGTGGTTTTCAGCAGGACTGTGAAGATTTATATGATATTTATGCTCCCGTTGCCAAACTTACAACTTTCAGAGTTTTTATTGTGATTGCATGCAAGTTGGGTAAACCTATTTTTCAAATGGATGTTAAAAGTGCTTTTCTACATGGGGATATAAATGAAGAAGTTTATATGAGTCTACCTGGCAATAATAAAAATAATAGCAGTACTGTGAGTAAGTTAAATAAATCTATTTATGGTCTTAAGAAAAGTCCTAAGTGTTGGAACACTAAATTTGAAAAACGAAGATTTTCTTAGGTCCGAAAATGATCACTGCTTATATTTCAAATGTTCTGAAAACAGTAAATTATATGTTTTAATTTATGTGGATGATTTACTTATTTTGGGGACCGATTTACCTGAAATAGAAAATTGAAGCATATATTTTGCAATAATTTTGATATGAAAGATCTTGAAATAATTTCTCAATATTTAGGAATTGATGTTAAACAAAATTTAAAAGAAGGTTGTGCTGAATTATGTCAGAAAAATTATTTAAAAAAACTTTTACAAAGATTTGGAATGCAGGACTGTAACCCTATGCACACACCATTAGATATAAATACTGTTTTTTATTTTAGAAATGAAAATAATGATGCTGAGTTGCAGAAACTGTGTAAACACATTATTGGTAGTCTTATCTATGCAGTTCAAGGTTCCAGACCCGATCTTTGCGAAAGGGTCAATCTACTCAGTAGATATCAGGATAAGGCTAACAATAATTTGTTGAAGGCATTGAAAAGAGTCCTTAGATATGTTAAGGGTTCTATTGATGTTAAATTATTGTTTAAACCAGATGCTGATGGTAAAATTTTATGTGGTTATGTCGATTCCGATTGGGGAGGAGATGATACCGATAGAAAATCAACAACTGGATATGTTTTTAAATTATTGAATTGCTGTATATCGTGGAACAGTAAAAAACAGCATTGTGTTTTAATTTCTTCCACCGAAGCTGAGTACACAGCTTTAACATTAGCAGTTAGCGAAGCTTGCTGGTTAAAAAAATTAATTAATGATTTTCAGGTAGGTATTTAGTCTGGAAATGCCAATTATTATCCATGAAGATAATCAATCCGCTATCAAGATTGCGAATAATCCGGAAAATAATAAAAGATTGAAACATATTGACATAAAATTCCATTTTGTTAAAAAAAAGTTGGACACTGGCATAATAAACATTATACACATTAAAAGTGAAGACCAATTGGCAGATATGTTTACTAAGCCATTGGCCAGAGTTAAATTTGAAAAATTTAGAAAAGATTTGGGTTTGTTTTGTTAAACCAATTTTTTTTTTAAATTTTAATCACTTCGTTTTATTTTTCATATTATAAATAAAATAATTTTATTGAGGGGGCATGTTAGAAATTACAATAGAATTATTTTATTATTATTTATTTATGTTTAGGTTATATTTATGACAAAATGTGACAACAATTTAAAACTATCATATAGGTGTTTTATAACTACTCTTATTATAGGTCTATAGCAGTAGTAAAGTAGTCGTATAGCTGTCACACACGATCATTATGAGCATTTTTCGTGTTTTTAAGTGTATTATAATTGCCTATCAGATAACTATAAGAATTTGTATACGAGTAAAATGTCTTACGATACTGCTATATAGCAGCATATAGAAAACTAATAAACATATTTGTGTTGCTTTGTTGGGACCCAATGGCGCACCCAAGGGGGTGCTATCGGGCCAGGCCCCCCCTCCAAAACTGTATTTTTACATAGTAACATCAAGGCGAGGCACCCTGACACCTCAATTTTTTTTTTTTAGATTTTCAGTCAGAAGCCACAACCCAAGGGGTTTTTCACCTAACAAAATTTTTACACCGATTAACAGTACTAACTGAGATATTTTCATGTATTTACAGATATTTCTATGTACCTAATAACAAGTTATTGCCAACTATTTCCATATACAGTGTGCCCCGCTTAAGGACTGACCACCCTTCTAAAATTTTTATTTTTCAACCGATTCAATTTTTTTTTTTTGTCTTGTAGCTACTCGAATTTGGCACTTATTAGGCTCATAATTTTATTTCTGCGGCTGCACTGGTTTATAGGGTGTCCACATTTATAGGATCAAATTTCAATAAGTACTCTTAGGGATTTTTTTAGAAAAAATCTGATAGCAGATTCTTGTTTAGAATGGTCTAAAATCCTAATGTACGAATTTTTGTTCCAATAGGATACAGGGTGATCACAACAAATTTTTAAAATTTAATGGATCAAACCGTAAAAATTTTATATTTTGAGACAAGCTTACTACAAATTTTGGTTAAGGATGTTCTAAAACTATGTTGTATCAAGTTTTGATGTTCTCAAGGCCTCAAAATACGACATTTTCCCGGTTTGGTTCATTAAATTTTGAAAATTTGTTTTGATCACCCTGTATCCTATTGGAACAAAAATTCGTACATTAGGGTTTTAGACCATTCTAAACAAGAATCTGCTATCAGATTTTTTCTAAAAAAATCCCTAATAGTACTTATTGAAATTTGAGCCTATAAATCGTCGTCAATAACACGAACTGGCGTATCTCATTTTTTCCAATTTTTCAGGAGAGTGTTTTAAATATTTTCGCGAGATTCGAGTTGCTACTGACAAAAAAGTATTACTGCTACAGAACTGAATTTATGCCTATATATTCTTCTATAGATAAGCTATTTAAACATGAGTAGTAAGTGACCCATTTTTTAGTTTACGTATCCAAAATTTCCAAAAAAAGGAGAGACGTCAGTTCGTGAATTTGAATAATCCCAACTCATAGAATAAATACTTAGTTACGTCGGTGTTATTTTAAAGTCCTTGAAAGGAAAATACATAAAATTTTCAAAAAATATGTTTGTATTTAAATTCAAAATTGTTACAAAAAGAAAAACAGTACTCTTATGACAAAATAAGTATAAACAGTAGTTTTGAACCTAATTTGCTTCCTGTAAATAAACATGGCACCATCAACAAAAGATTATTTTATGATTACTCATGACGAAGATTTAAGTAGAATGTTTGGTATTGTTTTATGCGAATCACTGGTGTGTCCTCTTCGCACAACGACTCTAAATCCATGTATTTCTCCTTACTAATTTTTCTTGGCTGTGCATTTAAGGTTTCTACGGAAATATCTTTTAAATTAAGCCGTTGTCTTTTCAATCTAAAAGACCTGTATTCCTGTTGAACGTGACTGGTTTTGTAAAATATTGTTAGCAGCTCATTTTTTAAAACTTTTATTTCCATAAAATCGCTCCATTTTATGGGCTCCCCTGTATCTGAGGTTCTTATTGACAAAATTCTTAGCTCTTCGGAAAGTTTTTTAAAATCTTGGAAGTCGTTATGCTGAAGGTCGTGCACAATGTACGGCTGCACGAATGATTGGATACAGTTGGGCGGGTATAAAAATGTCACCCGCAGTGGACAATGCTGTAGAAACGGCACTGTGGGCAGAATCTCCTTCATTTTGCCCATGAAATGACTCAAAAAAATATAGTGAGATCTCTTCTATGTTTACAGTTTTAGATACAGCATATAAAAGCATTGTGGCAATAATGGAATTCTTATTTTGTCCACTACAGCCGTCTGCAAACACAGCGACCGATTTAATGTGCTGTTTAGAGTCATAAATTTGAAGGGCCCTAAAAACACAGGAACTTACTTCAGATGCTCCTCTTTTGCTCTCTAGTTCACTCCAGAGGAGACAGTGACACTCCTTTGAAGCAATATCGTACACCGTGAAATTGTAATTTGCCAGACGTCTTTTGTAAAATAAAGCACTTTCCCTTGACTGCGGTAGATAGATTACTTGTTGCAAATCAAAACTTGCACACGCAATTTCACTATTTTCCTTTAGAGCTTTCTCTTTATTTTTCTCGACGCGATGCTTTTCATACCTATCCTTCAGTTTTTCTTTCACATCTTCCTCACCTTGTTTGTAGGTCATACACAGCGAGCACTGGTCTTTCTTTGGTCGGTGAAACGAAAGATTTAATGATCTAAACACTTTGCGGTATAGGTCAATCGAAGGTTTGTCGTCAGTGGGATTTAGTTCTTCTGTGAACATGGCATACATTTTCGAAACAGTTAGTTCTGGATGAAGATATTCCTTGCTCGAACTTGATCGGCAGTAGGGGGACTCAATTTTTGGGAACCTTTGGATGTGTTTGTGAATTGCATCTCGAAGTGCCTTGTCTCGAACAATAATTTTATGTGACTGTCTACCGCCTCTTTTTTCTCCTTCAAGAATCCCACTTGAATTTACCTTTTCTAAAGAAGTTCTCATTGTTCGCTCAGAGATCCCGAAAGTGTTCAAAAAAAGAGTCTTACATACTAAATACTGGATGCCTTCGACTGTGAGATAATATTCACGGCTCTTTTGTCGTCGAGACTCTTCTTTTTTTGTAGTTTTTTGAGCTGTTTCCGATATCTTAACGTGACGTGTAATAAATTCCCGCTGGCGTGTAAGGTTTCCCAGTTGCTTGAAAAATGTAAATATTTTCATGCTTTGCTCTTCATTGACTAATAAACACTGCCGACTCTGTTTCTTACAAAGTTCACTATTACATCTTTGTTTAAGTACTTTGCCGGGTACTAGAGATTTGGTTTTGGGGCTAACATAGTCTTCTCCAAAATCTCTTAATCTCTTAGCTAATTTATGTTTATTTTCTTTCAATTTCTTAGTCATGCCCTCATCTTTACATTCTCCTTCTTGAACAAAGTCCTCTGGCTTACCACACAGTATTGTTGAGCTATTTGTTTTTTTTTTTCAACATCGTTACGAAGATGCTTTCTCTTCTTGATATTTTTTGAATGGCTTTCGCAAGTATCCTCATATTCTTGAAAGTGATCATAACACAATAACCTAAGGCAGATGTGACAAGCGGCAAATACGTCTATCTTGCAATGGGGTGCCTCACACGTCTATTTGTATGTCGGGTCCTCAGGATCGGAGATGTCCCCTAAAAAATCGCTAAGGCTATCATCCTCGACCTCAATAGTTCCATAGTTTTCAGGAAACTTATCTGGTATAGCTTGGACATCTGCCTCGAGGACTTGTTTATCAGTTTCAACAGCGCCTGAAATAGAAATACCTACTTTAGGAGGGACCAACAGCTAGTCAAACACACAGACGAAACACTAGTACTCGTCGTTAGCTACCAACATAAAATAACATCTTACCTTTTTTAAAATCTTCATCCAAGTTATTAGTGTGCACACGATCTTTTCCACTCAGCATTGCCAAGGTAACATTATCATCATCAGAACTATCGCACTCCACATCACTTTTTTTGAGAAGCTTTGCTAAGGGAATATTATCCTCCAAACTATCACTTTCTTGGCCATTTTCTATTGGGCCTTCCACATCGATAACTTTTCCTGCATACCACTTTTTTTTATAAAACATTTTAACTTCACTACCAATTTGAATTTTTTTGTTAGCGTCTGTGTTTTTAAGTTCACTGGAACACACCACATTTTTAGATCCATTTTTCCACAATACAAGTACATCCATTTTATAATTTTACCTTGCCGAAAACTATCACCAATAAATCTTCACAAAATCAGAATAGTAGATTCGCAATTAACAGTTCATCTTCCTGAGCCACAAGACAAACTATTCCGCTATTTGAATAGACTCATAAACAGAAAACAGATTGAAACGAAGTAAAAGATTCAAGTCCTAACAAGTCGAAAAGTAGATAAGACACATCTACAGTGCCTAAACTAATGTGAAGTTGTAGACGACAATTTCACGAACTGGCGCAACTTAGATAAGACATAAGCTGTAAAATGATATGTCCGTTTCACAATTTCACAAAGTGCCTAAACTTGAGTTACGCTATTCATGAAATTCTATTTCTAAGGAAAATCAACTATTATTTTTTTATAACTCTAAAGCTATTGGGAACTGACTTACGCCGCTTCAAAATATTGTGGAGCAACCTTTTTTTAGTAGTAAAATCGACTAAACTCATTTTTCGTATTTCCTGAGATACGCCACTTCGTGTTATTGACGACGAAATGTGGACACCCTGTAAACCAGTGCAGCCGTAGAAATAAAATTATGAGCCTAATAAGTGACAAATTCGAGTAGCTACAAGACAAAAAAAAAAAATGAATTGAATCGGTTGAAAAATAAAATTTTTAGAAGGGTGGTCAGTCCTTAAGCGGGACACACTGTATTAACAAAATATTTCCACATATTGCCAGGTATTTCCCTAGTATTATCACATATTACTAGGTATTGCCATGTTATTGACAGACTAAAATCAAAAATTTGTCTTGCTAGAATTCTAGGTATTGATATATCCACAGGATTAACATGTTATTAATAGATATCAACCAATAACATTAACATATATTCCCTAGATATCTACAAGTATTGACATATATTACCTACATAATTAACAAGTAGGTATTGCATAGTATTGACACTATTGACATATATTAACTAGTGATTTGTACATTGATTAGCAAGGTGAAAAACCCCTCGCCACAACCTATGTAGGGCCCCCAAACATTTACTTTCTGGGTGCGCCACTGGTGGGACCTGAAATTTTGATATTCATCAAAAAAGGGTGGGATGATTTGCCGAAAGAAGTTATGGGTAAGTGCTTCTACCAATTTCTAGGTCTACTAAAGCAATTTCATATTTCCAACTCTGGGTGTCACTGAAATAAGTTATGCATTTCGGGTAGATTTTATGTTGTAGGACACATTTATCAAGTAAAATACTTGACGGGTGTTGTATACAATAGTGGAATACTTAATACCGGTTTATGACGTTTCAAATAAAAGTTTCTTGGCAAGAATGATTGCTGTTCAAGCTTTAAGTGCGTTAGTTGTTCAAGGCAATATTATTTACCATAAAACTTTAAAGCGGCCTAATAAAAATGGGACGTCATTTGAATGTGAGTTCTTTTTTTTTGCCGAAGAGATAGGGATATCAATATCCATATATTACCCAAGATATAACAAAGCTTTTTTGTTCGCCTACCCAAAAATATCTATAACCACAAACATGTTAAGCTATGTTTGATCAACTATTAACTACTAAAAGGTATTACGTTCCATTTCAAACCCGTCATCCTCAATCCCTGATCAAACAACAAACATTAACAGGGCAAATACTAATAAACTGGGTATAAAGCCATAAGGCTCAAGGCATGTTAATAACCAGCTTATTTACATTTCGTTCGCTAGGATAATACGGATTGTCAATTAATAATTATTATTGGTTAGTCAAACCCGGAGTAGCCCCAAACCTATTATTAACCGTTAAGGTTAATTGTTCCTTCATTATTTTTATCTCCAAAGAATATCTCATGCCTTTCTTCTCTGATAGCCATGATTATAAGCTAAAAAGTTCTATAATACGACCTACTTCGCTGAAACTATGGACCTAATGATGCGGAAATCTATTTTCCGGAAAACCTTTCTATGAAAATAATTAGTTTTGAGAAAAAATTAGTTTGATCCATCCAGAAAAATTATCCTTCATAAACCTATTAGTTTGGATTTACCTGAAAAATATCACTGTATATTTTTAATAGTAGATGCAGGAATAGCCATCATCACAAACAGAATAGATTATGAGAATCTTTAGTACACTAGAATTTTCTAATACAACAATATGTAGGTACGTACGTTCCAGTCCATTTTAACTCATATAAAAAGAGAACAAACTAAAACCAGATTGCGTTTTGAATGACGTTTGCGAGAAAGAGGTTCAAACAGAGACAAATTCGTTTTGTCAGAATGGTATTCGGACGAGTTTCAAGTTAAAATAGAGTAGTTGCACCGTAGTATAGTCCCGTGTCGTCTGTATAGTTCCGAAGGCTGTGGCCTCTATCTAATTGGACGAAACTTTATTGTTTGTGAAATGGGCCCGGGTCGCTCTTAATTTGGTTCGTTTCAATGAAGCCTGGATTATTTGCATTAGTGACAGAATGTGAATGTAACGGAATGACTTATCCAACGACGGAATCAGTTAAAAGAGCTTAACCAAACAACTAACGTGTCAAATTTAATAACAGCTCTTTTCTCTTATTTCATGTAGGTAGTTTTATTCTATTTAGGGACAATTTATTAGATAAAATTTTGGTCATTTCTCCTATTTTTTTTATGGTTAACCACCTACCAGCTTAGTTCTGCTCATCTGATAAATTTTTAAACTGACTCAGGTCCAAGAAGAAGATGAAAATACCTTTTGAATATGCCATATACATACACTAACTACATATCGAGATACATCCATGCATGCTAAGAGTGTATAGTGTATACGTTTTTGAAAAAACTGGTCCGAAATAAATTAAGAATTCTATAGCTATCTGTAGCATAAATATTTAATAAATCAACAATTAACTCAGATACAGGTCCGAAATAGCTGGAAAGTGTAATGAGTGGAAGTAAAAAAGGGAACCGGTTCCGCTCTGGAGCTTAAGAGCCCCTCTGTGCGCACACATGCAGACAGACAACAGACACGCGGCTAGGGCTTAGGTCCGCGTGCAAAGAGGATTACATGGTCGCTAACTATCTGAAAAATATATTGCTCTGTTTGTGTCCCAATTATATTTCGGAGGTTTGGGGGAAGGTTTTCCTAACAACGGAAAAGTTAAGCGGAAATGATTTTTATTAAGGATTTAGTGTGGATAAAAAAATAATGCGTCAAAGCATTTTTATATTTCATATCAGAGTTATATTATGGAAATCTTATAATAAATATATATTAAAAACACTCTTGGCTCTATTAATTTTACAATATTTTCGCTTTTTAACATGCTATTACTGTCATCACTATTAGACTTACAAATCAACATTTTTTGAAAAAGAAAGTTTCCGAAACGAAAATTTAATTGGCTCAGTCATGCCAATTCGAAAATCGATACTCAGCGTGCGCAGAGTGCCAGAAAAGAAAAACTAAAATTTGTCGCGAAAATTTAAAAAAAAAGTGAAAATTCGATTGTCAGTGCATTTGGACTTTCAGTAGTTACTTGTACAAGTTGTACACTGCTACGGTCAATTTGATATGAGCACAGCTTGTATGAGAACAACAAAGGAACAACGTGTTGCCGGAAATATTCAGTCACAGACACGAAGCTTAAGCATTCTGCCGAATCGATTAAAAATGGCACAGAAGAAATATTTTGCGGAATACGAAAGGGTCGGTTAAGTTAGCCCTCCCATAGAAAATTTCTGGATGAAAATTATCCCATAATTTTGCTCTCATTTTGCTCCACTAATTTCGATTTTTGCTCCATTACAGTAAAGAGACTATGTGGCCTATTAGGTAGGGGGGGGGGTGAATTAACGCTAGCCCCCCGCCCCCATTTAAAATTCTGAAATTTGATCATGCTCATTTTGTTCTCCGAGTTTTGCTCCATTCTGCTCCATAATCGGCGAGTTTTGCTCTATTACCAGAAGAGACCTACAGAGCTCCCAAAAATCTGTCCTAGCCCCCCCCACCGGTGAAATTTTTTAAATTTGAACATGTTTATTTTGTTCTCCGAGTTTTCCTCCGTTTTGCTCCATTATCGGCGAGTTTTGGTCCATTACCAGGAGAGACCTACAGAGCTCCCAAAAATCTCTCCTAACCCCCCGGTGAAATTTTTTTAATTTGAACATATTCATTTTGTTCTTCGAGTTTTGCTCCGTTTTACTCCATTATCGGCGAGTTTTGCTCCA